GGGATCAAAAATGGGTGGTATCATGGCCTAAGCCTTTTGACTCGAGTGGGAGACTGACAGTGTCTTCTGGGATGTGAATGTGCACTTGAAGATGTGACCAGGCCCTGGACTGGTGGTCAGGAAAGCTGTCCTGGAAGAAAGGTGGCCGGACACAGGCCACAGAGGGCTAATGTCAGCTCAGACATCCAGCACCTGATACCGTGCTTCTTTATTGAAAGGTTTGTCCGATATGTGCCTCGATGCCCTGGGGAGACCCTAACTACCGCAGCGCCAACTTCATAGAGCACATCCAGCGCCGGCACCAGTTTTCTTACGACACTTTCGTGGTGAGTCTGGAGCCTGTGCTCTAACTCCTTCCCCCGGGGGGTGGCACAGCTCCCTCCCTTCTCTTACCTGGAGAACTGTGGGCCCCCTTGGTGAGTTTTGTCACTGATGTGATGGGCTCCCTGGAATGACAGCTGTGTGGTATTTAAGATGAACTGGCCAGTCATCTAGACTGAGATATAGTAAGCTTGCTTTTATTTTATGTTTTCCAAAACTTTTGTCCACTTCAGTATGTGGTTTCTACCTGTTATGGAACCTGGTTTAGGATCCTTAAGCTCAGGTGCCCACGGGAACCAGGCAAGGAATGGAAGTGATTCTGCTAAGGAATTGCAAGCTGGGTGGTGTGTGACTCAGGTAATGCAGCCAGCAACGCCAGCTGCAATTCCCAAATAGATAGCTTTGCCTCATTGAATCAAAAAGGCTGCTTTTACTTCGGAACGCTCCAGGTCTGAATGCTTGGTCTGTGCCAGGCTTCACTCAAGTGCTCTCTGGTCCCCACCCTTCCATCTGAGGGAGCCGTCATCATGGTCATCGTCAGGATGAGGCAGCCAAGGCACAGAGAGATCAAGCACTTTCCCGGAGTCATGCAGCCGGCATCGCAGACCGTGGAGCTGGCCCCTGGCCTCCGGCCCCTCTCCAGAGCCACCGCTCACATGCCCTGCTTCTCCAACTGAAAGTGAGTTCTTGCAGCTGCGCACAGTTGGCTGAGGCCGAGCGTCTTTTTTGCCCGTAGGATTACGACGTGGATGAGGAGGACATGATGAACCAGGTGCTGCAGCGCTCCATCATCGACCAGTGAGCAGGCTCTGCTGGGGCTCGTGTTCCAGAGCTTCCATTACATGTTCCGCGGGAAACGTGTGACTCCTCCACCTAAATGTACAACAGACCTGGAAGTGAGCCGTGGTATTAGGACAGGGTCACTTCCCACGGGGAACAGGTCCCCAGATCAGAGCCCTCCTTTCCTTTGGTCTCTTCCCCTACTGTTTACCCTGCTTGTCACATGTCTGGTCTTGCTCCTCAGCCACATCCTGCAGCTTCTGCCTCCTTTTTGGAAGGGAACCCAGCTTCTCCACCTGTTCTTGTTTCACATTTGAGCCTCGTGTTCGATGTTGACCTCTCAGGTCCTCTGAGCCAGCCAGGACCTTTTCTGGGTCATGAATAGCACAGATGAGACAAGCGTCTCCTCTCCTTGTCCCCGGGGTGTGAGCTCTGGCAATAACGCATCTGATCAGTGATGGAGCTCCTTCTGTGCTGTGCAAGTTCCTGTTAGTTGGTCCTTGGCAGCAGCTGCCAGAAGCTGGAGTTACCTCATGGGAAACATTTCACACGTCCTGTTGGCCTGAATGTTCTGGACTTAACATGGTCTGGTGCTGGAAGTTTTGCTTAGTGATATTTTCCTACCATTCCTGCACACCCTTAGGATTAACTGGTTCAATCTTAAATGCCTGCATGGTGCCTTTTTAGGATAAAGGTGTAATCACATATTTTTAGTGAAAGTAAGTGTTTCTGGCTTAGGAAAGTTAAACTCCATTTATCCATAAGTGGGGAGGAGGGTCAGCTAAGTGAGGTGGGAGGGCCATAGCTTTTTGGTTCTGATTTTCAAACTAATGAAGTATTTTCCGGTGACTTGGTTATGTTTGCTTCTCTACTGGGGAGCCTGCTTATGTTCCTGTCCTTGAAGCACAAAAAGGAGTCCTCAAATGAATAAGAAGTTTGGGGGCTCCAGTGGATACTAGTTCTTTTATTTGGTAATTTAGATTAAACTGTGTGTTGCTTTTCTGTCATGAATGGTTTCCTTATGAAACTGGTTTCAACACGTAAGTCGGTGTGTGAAGACCTGCCTTCTAAAGCGGAGGGGTTGGGGACATCTGGTATCGCCGCTGCTGTCTCTGACAAGACACGCTGTTCAGAAGGCACAGCACACTTCCTGGGAGCAGTTGGTAATGGAAGCTGTCCACTGGAAACTTGCTTTGCTAATACCTTCGGAAGCCTGAAGTTCGACTGTTTCACGAATATTAATAAATACGAGGCTAAGGGCTGTCTACTCTGTAGGAGCAGAGCTTCTGATCCACCAAAAGGCATCTGGGTCTAGGTTCATTTTTCCTTGTTAGATCTCTTGTCTGAATATGGACATTGTTTCTGGTCAGTGACTGAGGTTTCAGATGACAAGGGGCTCTGGGCCTGTGCACTGAGCTGTGGGCCTTGTGCTCCCTGCCAGCGAGAGCTGCACGTGCCCAGGGCCCAGCAAAGACGGGCCCTTTGGGGGCAGAGTAACTTTTTCTAATGTGCTGTTGCTTGGGAGGGCCCCGATGTTATGGTCAGATTCTTCACTAATTTCTGGAAGAAGTTCATCTCAGTCTAAGTTTAGAGGGAAATTTGACAAAACCTTCATTTGCGGGACCTGATGATGGTGGTCTCACTGGTGATACCAGGAAACTGAGTTCCTTGTATTAAGTGCACTTCATGTATTTCTAATAAGACGACTTTCCAGAAAGTGACATTTGTTATGTTCTGGCTTTTAAAAGGTGAAATATAAATAAATTTCATAATTTATCCAACTGGTAAGCTGTAATGCCTGTTTTCATTAACCACCATTTGCTGAAGTCTGGGTCTGGGGGGCTCCCGGAAGACTGTTGCTCTTTTTAAGGGGAAGTTCTTGTCTGTCATGAGTGAGTCCCATCTGGCTCTGATCTCAGCTCTGATACTTCGCCGGCTGGCTTCACCGGGCCTGTGTTGTCTGGAGAATGAACCCCCTTCCCTGCCGAACCCCCCCCCTCACCCCCCATGTTGGGAGGTCCCATGAGGCAAGAAGTGGCTGTGTTCCATTAAACGACTTCAGGTGCCTTAGCGGCAGCCCTGAAACATCATAGCAGAGGGTTCCACACGTGAACATCTGAGGTCATGGGCGTGTTTCTGTTCTGCACTCTGCCGCTGGCTGTAGGATGTCTGGAAAATACTTCCCCCTCCCGATTTAAATAGGTTATAATAGGATCTATCTCCTACATGTGGAGAAGGGACAACAGGGGGAAAGAGGGGAAGCAGAGACCAGGGAGGCTGCTGTTGGCGGTTCCGGGCAGGAGACAGCGGCTGCTTCGGGCCGTGTAGCCATAGGGGTGCTGAAGTTGTCTGATTCCGTCAGATGTATTTTTGAGGGTAAGGTGTGAAAGCAAGAGAGGAGTTGCCGTGAGAGAATGACACCAAGGTTTGGGGCTTGAATGACTGCGGGGTGGAGTTATCTTTCTGAATTGAAGGGAAGACTCCAAGAGGAGCAGCTGTGGGGGAATCAGATGTTTTAGGAATGGGTACCTAGGCCTTGGGATAAGACTTCAAGTTCTAGCATCATGCACAAGATACAGGAAGTGCCAGCCCTCGAGCAACTCAAATAGGACTAGGATGTGCCTGGGGCACTTAAATAACTAAAAGTTACTCTGATACTGTCAGTTACTCTGATGTCAAAGGTGGATGTGGATCAAACTATTTCTTAAAATGTATGACTAGACAATATATTTCTACACTTGTTTTAAATATAGTGTAATTAAAAATAAGTAGGCATTAGAAGTATTTCATCTTCAGTGCTAAAAGCTCTCACATTCAATTTGGCCAAAAAACTTGATTTCCTTATATTCAGGCATATATGGTGTTTACTAAGCACCCATTATGAGCCAGGATTGTGCTAGCCACTGGGGATTTATACACTAATCAAATGTATAATTACAGGCTGTTAAGTCCTCGTGGTAGGGGATTAATAAATGGTAGCTATTTCATAAATAGTAAATACCTCCTACTTTATAAAGAAACTAGAAGCCAGAAGTCCAAAGGCTTACAGAAGCATCTAGACCCTTTATCCCTTCTCTACCTGTGCCTTCTCCCTTTCCTATAATATTGCATGGGAGTGTAATTTGCCCAAGTTAGGAAGTGAACACCAGGAATATTCATACTAAAAAATTATTTGTTTGAAATTCATATTTAACTGGGTGTCCTGTATTTTTATCCATTGTCTGGAAACCCTAGTCAATGTATATTAGCAGAATAAATGTCCTGAACATCTGCCATATGCCAGGCAGCTCACACCTTGTCATTAAATCATCATTTGTGCAGTTACTTGTTTTAATGGCTGCCTCGCACACTAACAAGCTCTTGAGGGCAAGGACCATACCTGTCTTGTGCACCACTCTCCTCCGTACTTGACCCCGAGTATACTCAGTAAATATTCCTAGAATTGAAATGGAACTAAAGGGAGCCCTTTCACAATGATACTTCCTTTCCGTGGCGACTCTTCCAGCCCAGAATTAGGGGCCGGTACGGTGGCAAAAAGATCCTGAAAGAAGCTGGCCCCGCTGTCCAGCGCGGGGAGGCGGGTCCTCAAACCGGAAGCGCAGGAGCCAGGACTTGCCGGGCAGAGGGGGCGAGACTGGGGGCAGGTAAGATGGCTGCTGCCTGGTGGGGACCTGACCTGCCCAGGCCCTCGACGTGATCCCTGGAAGCTCTCTTGCCTTTTTCCCTCTCGCAATATCCCCTGGCCTTCCACAGTATCTGCTGAATGTCCCATATGAGGCTCAGCTGGGCGTTAATGAGTACAGGAATAACGACAATAGATAACCATTCTCATCCTGGGTTCCTGACACAGCCCCTGCCCTCAAATAATTTTTATTTAACCCTCTTTCCTGAAAGGTGACCAAAACCAGGCATTCAGGATACTCCAGAAAAGTCAATCTGATCGAATCCTTTTAACCAGCCCCGCCATTACACACATGATGGAGTGGAGGAGGGAAAGGGTGAGTAATTTTCCCGAGCGGAACAGGAACAACTCGGTGGTACAGCATAGAGGTGTGAATAGTCGCATGGTCTCAGGCACACTGCACAGTCCCCAGCATCTACACTACTAGTTGTGTGACCTTGGACAATTTTTTTTTGGTTTGGCCGCGCCGTGCAGCTTGTGGGATCTTAGTCCCCCGACCAGGGGGTCAGACTCGGGCCCTGGGCAGTGAAAGCGCAGAGCCCTAACCACTGGACCGCCAGGGAATTTCCTTGAACAACTTACTCTAATCTCTTTGTGCCTTGGTTTCCTCATCCGTAACATGGGGTTAATAAACGGGTCTTCCTCACAGAGTTGTGGGAAATCTAGTGAAATAGTCCACATCAAGCCTTAGAACAGGGCCTGGCACAAAATAAGTGCTTAATAAATGTGAGCTCCCAGTGCCACTACTGTTTTTCTCCATTCTTGAGACCACCCAGCAGTGCTCAGCCTCACCCAAGCAGCTAGCAGCTGTAAATGTTTGATGACTAAGTACTACTATTAAGTGAAGTGTTTCCCAAACTTGCCCTGAAGACATGAATTACCTGGGAGGCAGTTGCTCCAAAATAGATTCTCAGGCTCTTCTCTTAGAGATTCTGGTTGGCAGATGTGGGTGGGTCCTGGGAATCTGTATCTTTTAAAAAGAGCCTCAGGTAAAACGCATCCTTAGGCTAGCATAGGAAATTCTGTTCTGTACACAGGCTAGTGTTACAACACGTCTATTGCAGCTGGGGTGGGGCAGCCACTCAGTTGATGGTTAGAACCAGATGGACAAGCTCAGTTCTTACAAGACTTTAGGGATAACTCTTCTGCTTATAAAAATCATCTAGACTGTCTGTTTGGTCTCACATGATGACCCCACAAAGGGAAAATTAGTAACTTTGTAGCGGAGAAACCTAGCAGACACCTTCTTTACCAAGGGATCAGACTTAGTATCCCCGATAATGGGACAAACCGTGGGTGACATGATGGGATGCACTCGAGGACGCAGCACTTCCGAGGTTCCTGGCAGAAAAACGTTTAACCTGAGTCTAATTATAAGGAAACATCAGGCAAGTCATCCAAACTGAGGGACATTTTTCGAAACTCTTGAAAAATGTCAAGGTCAGATTAAAGAAGACTAAAGAGGCAAGCAACCGACTGTAATGCTGCATGATCCTGGGTTGGATTCTTGATGGGATAGGGGTTGCCGTAAAGGATGTTAATGGGCCAGTTGCTGACATTTGAATATGGATTGTGGAACAAGTAATAGTATTTTATCAGTGTTAGATTTCCTGATTTTGATAATTACACCACAGTCACATAGAGAATGTCCTTATTCTTAGGAGATATGCATAGAAGAGCATATCAAATTACTCTCAAACGGTTCAGAAGAAAATAATACATGCCTGTGTATAAATAGATAAATAAAACGATAAAGCAAATATGCACAATGTTAAAAATGATAAGGCTTATTGTTTTAAAAAATAACAGAAGACAGGTAAAGCAGAAAAATCTGAAAAAGAAAGTGCAAACCACTCCTCATCCCACCCCAGACAGCCAGGGATCATTTCTTCAATGAAATACTTACATGTCCTTGGATCACCATATTTTTGATTGAAACTTAAAATGGGCAAATGCTTTACTTCTGGTCTATAACCTGCATTTTTCACTCCATGATATATCTCTCAACATCCTTCCTGTCATTGTGGTGTCATTTTTAATGACTGCATGATGCTCCTGGTGAGGATGGACCATACTTTATTTATCGGTGGGTATTTAGGTTGTTTGCAGTTTGACTGTGTCAACCTAAAACAATAACACAGCCAGTTATTTTAGCAACAAAATGAGTTTATCCAGGAGCAGCAAAGAATTGCAACTCGGGGCACGCAGCTATGGCAAACCACACGCGACTCTGTTAGAACAAAGGAGAGGAAACTCTTTTATAGAGGAGAAGGGGAAGTTGGGAGGGGCTGTTATAAACAAAAAGTCCATTGGAGGAAACTGGGAGTTCAGAGTATAGTGCCTTGTCATTGGCTGCATTGTGAAAGTCTCAATGGCCGAGCAATTGTCAAGCAAGGAGAAAATCTTTCTTCCTCCTGCTAGTACTAGTAAAATAGCGTCACTTCCTGCCGGAGGTGCAAGGTACATCCCCTGTTGGGATTTGTATTGACTTCTAGTGGCATATGCATGAGAGCTCCCCCTTCTGGCCTCCCAACTCCATTTTAGTGAGGTTTCCCTTTATTAATTTTCACAACTGTTATGGACTGTGCTAGAGTGAGCATCCTTCCAAATATGTCTTGCCTGCTCATCTAAGCATTTTATATACAGAGCTGCCGGGTCAAATGGAGACAGGTTGAGAGAGGCAGAAATAGGGAGAAAGACTGAGAGAGACAGAGGCAGGCAGAGTCCAGGGAGACAGAGAGAGACATGCCCAAGGTGAGACAGAGAGAGAGAGAGAGAGTCAGAAAGAGACTCCCAGAGAGACAGAGAGGGAAAGAGACAGAGATGGAGAGAGACAAGGAGAAAGAACAAGGTGGAGGGAGAGACTGGGATAGAGAAGGGTTGCTGCTGTCCGGGGAGACTGAGAGGGAGCTGGTCTGAGGCATGGAGGCCCTGACAGCCTGGCCACAGGAATTCAGGCAGAGAATGACAAAGCGACTTTTAGGAACACACCCTCCAGATACGATTGTAGATGAGGTCAGTGTCCTTCGTGCAAGGATTATCATGGGACTATTGTTCCCGGTAAGCAGAAGATGAGAAGCAACCTCATTGCCCATCAGCAGCAGGGGACTCGTTATATAGATTGTGCTCTAAGTGCTGGTCGGAGCCAGTCTCCAAGTAGGGCTGCCAGACTTAGCAAATAAAAATACAAGAGATCCAGTTAATTTTGAATTTCAGGTAAAGAATTAATCCTGTTCCTTGCAGTCTGATACTAAAAGCTTATTTGTTGTTTATATGAAATTCTAGTTTAATAGGGTATCTGTATTTTATTTGGCAACGCTATCTCCAAGATCAGTGAGAACAGCCAGGTGAAATCAAGATAGAGGGTGTGAGTGTGTGTCTCTGTCTGTGTGTGCCTGTGTGTGTGTGTCTGTGTACACGTGCCTGCGAGGAGGGCTTCTGGGGTGGCTTGTCCAGGTTCTAGGTCCCAACCTACGTAGTAGTTGTAGTTCGAGGGAAGGGACCTATCCAGGGTCACACAACCACAGGTGGTAGGGCTAGGTGGGACCCCACCTTTGTGCTTTGCAGTAATGTGCGTGTATATGTCTTAAAAGTGTTAATGTGTTAACTAAAAATATTAAAAACAAACTATAGTTTTCTAAACTCCAGTTGAACATTTCTAATTTCAAAAAAGACTGGCAATCTCAAAAACTGCAAGGGCCATCTGTGGGGAAGATATTCTACAGAATGGGAACACCACATGCCAAGTCGCTGAGACCGGAGCATGCCTGGTGTGGTCTGTTGTGGCTGGAGCCTCATGGGGGAGGTGGGCTCAAGGGGCCTGGGGCTCTCTCAGCCCCAGAGCCTCTGCCATCTGAACTAATTTCTCATCCTGGAACACTCGTCTGCCCCTGGGCTTCTTAATCATGGTTGTCAGCGGTCACTGCCGCCTGGAATGTCTTCTCACTTCCCTTTCTCACCTGCCCATCCTTGTGACCTCAGCCTGGAGTCTCACTCCTCTGACTCACCTGGGTCCCTCAGGGTTGGCGAATTGCCCGCTACCACTCTTCCTCCCTCACCTGTGAGCTCCTCGAGCATAGGGGCTTGTTTGTGTCTTGCTGACTTATTACAGTATCCTAGCCCGCTAGGCCAGGGACATTCCATCGCTTGCTCGCTGTGACTTGAGCCTGTTACATGTCACCTCTCTGAGCCTCGGTTTCCTTATCTATAAAAAGAGGCTGATAGTCTTGCCTACCACTCAGGGCTTGCTGTGGAGGTCATGGACCAATGTGGCGGCAGTGGGAAAGGGAGATGACATTAGCATCTGGGAGGTGATGTATGAACTGAGAACAGCTCTGGGAAGATCTGGGGAAGGCCGTTGTGGGCAGAGGGCACGGCAAGGGCAACGGCCCTGCTATGGGAAAGAACCTGTATGAAGAGGAAGCAGGAAGTTCACTGAGGCTGGAGCAGGTGAACAGCGGGGACAGAGGAGGAGCTGAGCCCCAGGTTAGGTAGCATCTTGTGAGCCAAGAGCAGGGTTTGGATTTTATTTTGAGTCCGAGACTTAAGGTAGCTTTGACCTAAGGAAATAGTCTGTTCTCACTTTCCCCTCCTTGGCAATATCTGCCACACTCAGTGGTCCAGAGATGCACAAAGGTCTCCAGGTGCGAAAGGTGGACACAGGTGGGGAGAGAGGAGGCCCTGGGGCCTTACCTGGAAACAGGCTCAGCCTTCTGCCAGGAAGTGGAGATATCAGTGCAGTACGAGGGGCGAGGCTGCCAAGGCAAATTAGTGCGCAGGAGATAGTCTGCGAGATAACGGATGTCAGCCCCTGTGGCAAATGCACGATTTGCCAGGCAAGATGCGCTCTGCACCTTAGCGAGATCCAGGGACCTGCGTCAGGTCTAGAACATCAGTGGACCTCCAGGGGGGATGCCGGCCCAGCAGGTGTGGAGAGGTCTAGCTTCAGGGTGCCACTCAGCACCCACACATCCACCCACCACCCTCAAGGCCTTGGACACCTGCCTTTTACCCCAGGAGACCCCCTCTTCCCAGCTGCCTGGGACCATCCCAGGACTCCCTCAGTCCTGGACAAGCCAGGATGGTTGGTCACCCGACTTATTTACTAGATGAAGAAACTGGGTCTCAGCGGCAGGCAGGCAGTATTTGCCTGGGTTTTGTGGTTGGGTTTTTTTTCATGAAAAAGTATTTTATTTGAAATGGTGACACATGCATCTGAAATAAAACATTCATACCCTTCAGAAACGGTTTGGAGAAAAATCTCCTTCCCACCCCTGTCTGCTTCCGTCCTCAGAAGTAACCAGAGTCTTGGGTCTAATTGTACAGTCTGGGCCTAAACTTATAATTTATTAAGTTCTGCACAACAGGCAGCCTCTGAGATATTCTGTTCACCTGAATTTTTTTGACATAAAAGTGGGAATTCCCTGGCAGTCCAGTGGTTAGGACTAGGCGCTTCCACTGCAGGGGGCCCAGGTTCAATTACTGGTCAGGGAACTAAGATCCTGCAAGCTGCGCAGCGTGGCCAAAAAAAAAAGTATGAGTTCTTTCATCCATTCAGCTAATATTTGTATCATTTGATACATTGTATTTGATACATTGTAAATGTATCAACTTTTTTTTTTTTTTTTTGGACACACCACATGGCTTTTGGGATCTTAGCTCCCGACCAGGGATTGAACCTGGGCCGTCGGCAGTGAGAACGCAGAGTCCTAACCACTGGACCGCCAGGGAATTCCCTCAACATTTTTTGTAACATATCTTTGCACTTCAGGTCAAAGATGTGTGTACAAGACATTCATTAAAATTGCCACCTTGTTTGTAGTAGCAAAAAATTATATTCTAATCTAAATGCCTATCACAAGTCCCCTTGTTAGATAAATTGTGTGATTATGGTATAATCCATGCAATGAAAAAGTCTGCAGCCCTGCAACAGATGAAGGGAGCTACATGTAATGATATGGAACAACTTTCAAGACCGTAGTATAGTTACTTGGGAGGAAAGCAAGTAGGCTAGCGTATAGGCTCCCATTTGTGTTACATAAAAAAGGGAGGTACATATTATATTCACATATGCATATATTTCCTTGTCTCTATAAAAACCATCTCTGGAAGGTCATACAAGACACTGGTAAAAATATTTAGTTACCTTTGCAGAGGGAAATGGAGATCTGGGATGGAGGGGCGCTTTCTTTTTTGTTTGGTTGAGTTGTAAATCACATTTTTAGTTATCGTTCTTTTAGTGGGGGATGGACACCCGTGGAAAATGCAGGCCTTTATTCAAATTTATCTTCTCTCAGAGGCCTTTCCTGGCCGTATTAGATATTCCCAAACTGCTCTCCAAGGCAGCTGTACCAGTTTTCATCCTCGTTGAAGGCGTGTGCATCCGGCCCCACGTGACGGCCAGCAGAGGGCGCCGTAAGGCCGCGCCCCGGGGCGAGGGCGGTGGGCAGGACCGGGCCGGCCGGGTCCGCTGCAGCCCAGCCGCAGAGCCAGTACATTTCCGGGAGGACCTGACACCACAGCATCAAAAGTGTCGCCTCGCCTTCACCTGCAAGGAGGCCGGGACCGCACCTCCAGGAGCTGGCTCGCCGTCCAGGGCCTCGCCTCGCCCAAAGCCCCCTCCCACCTCGCTGTCTCCGCCGCCTCTTGGAGGGAGGGTTGTGAGGGTGACCCGGGAGAAGAAACCGCCGGGACAGTTCAATCGGAAGGGAGGGGACAGCCCAGATCTGAGAATGCCCCCTCCCCCACCTTACGCCTCCTCCAGGGCGCAGGTGACCGACCGAAGGAAAATGGAGAGCGGCAGGCCCAGGCAATGGTGTTTTGAGTACCAGCCTCTGGACTCTGCCCATCCCAGCATCTCGGAGACAGAACACCCACCTTTTACAGTTGAGGAAATTGAGGCTCAGAGAGACTGGGTAACTTGCACAGGGTGACCCAGGAGGAGGAACAGCCAGTAATCAGTCATTCACCAAATACTTGAGCCCCTACTAAGTGCTTTGAAGGTAATTGAATAGGGTAGTGGAATAAACAGTGACGTTGTGAGTGGGGCAGGGTGCTACTTTGGCTGGGATGATCAGGGAAGCCTCCCTTGAGGTGACATAAAATTTGTGTTAAATATATCATTCTTACCAAAAGTGTTTAAATTGTCTACAGTTTCAAGACTACTAATAAATAGCTTTCTGTGCTTAAAACAACATTATCAAGAACTCTCTAGGAGCACCTTCTCCCCCAGCTAACCACTCTCCAGAATTTTGTATTAAACATTTCCTTGCTTTTCTTTATAGTTTTACCGCCTCCATGTACATTCCTAGACAATAAAAGGTTTCATTTGCTTGATTTTGAACCTTATGTAAATCCAACTAACTGTATGCATTTGAGTTGGTTCTTTTTGCTTAACATTATGCTTTTGAGATTTATCCCTGTTGTTGCATGGAGTTGCAGTTTGTTTTTATTGCTGTATATGTTCCATTATGGGAATGAACCACAGTTTATTTAACCCTTTGTACTGTTGATAAACATTAGAACATTACGGTTGTTTCCACTTTTTTTGTTTTTTGTTTTTGTTTTTGTTTTGCTGTTAGGAACAACGGTGCAATGAATACTCTTGTTTCTTCTGGGATTAGGGCTGGGCAGCAGTTTTCAACCTTGGCTGCTCACTAGAATCACCTGAGGAGTTTTTTAAAATGCTAATACCAGAGGGTCCCACCCAGGCTAATCAAATCAGGATGGCTCTGGGGGTGGGGCCCAGGCTAGGGTGTTCCCTGAGGGAATCTAATCTGCGGCCAGGGCTGAGAACCTCTGCGATGCTGTTGGCCTGGAAATAGAATTGCTAGGAGAGTCACCTGTTATTAGCTGATGCCAAACTTTTCCGAAGTGGCTTGTACCTATGACACTCTCGCCAGCATGGAACGAAAGTCCTGCTGCCTTCACACCCTCAACACTTGCTAGTGACCAAATTTTAACTTTTTATCTTTCTGATGGTGTGAAATGGTATCTCACTGTGGTTTTAATTTGCATTTCTCTCATTACTAATGAGGCTGAGCAGTTGGTGAAGTTAATGCTGAAACAAAGAAAAGGAGCCAACATGGTGAAGATCTGGGGGGAGAGATTTAGGGGGCAGGGAAGATGAACGGTAGGTGCCAAGGTCCTGTGGTAGGCAAGGGCTGGGATGTGGAGGAACAGAAAGAAGGGGGTGATCATTGTGCAGGGGGAAGGAGGAGAGTGGCTCAAGACAGGATCAGCAGAGGTCAGATCAGCAGGGTGGAGGGCCGTGGTGAAGACTTTGGTTTTTACTCTGGGTGAGATAGGAATATGGGAGGTTTTGAGCAGAGGGACACAGCCTTACTCCTCCCTCTGGATGCATGTGGAAAATCGTGATTGAAAGTAAACAGACGTAGAAGACGCTATATTCTTCGTAATGGCTGTGCATGGCCTGTCTCCCTCACCTTACCCTCCCCTCACCAGTTAGAACATGGTAAGGATTGTCTTGTTCACAGCTGTTATCCCCAGCACCTGATGACCAAAACAGACAGTTGTCCCTGCCCTCATTCTAGGTGGTGAGTGGAGGGACTTACAGGTTTTCATCGTCCTTGCTTCACAGGTGGAAACCCGTGGGCAAGACCTGTGGATTTATTTCCGTGCCACAACCCCACTCCAGGCGGGGCATGGCCCTCAAAGTTGGTGGGCTCACAGGAGAGCTGAGGATGAAGTGTCCCTCCCCTGGGTCCACCCCACAATGAACCAGTCAGTGCCTCCCTTGGAGCCCAGCCTTAGGTCCTTTAGACACAGTATTGACGACCCCAGACAAGTGAGGAGACCACCTCAGCCCCACCCTTCCCCACTTCTTTCTCCCACCTGCCCAGAGTACTCTTTCTCAACCATTCTAAACAGGTCCCTCCTCAGCTGAAAATTCTTCCTTGGCTCCCCAGTGCCCTTGGGGCAAAGTCCAAACTCCTCCAGGCCCTGGAGGCCAGGCAGATCTGACCCATCAGCCCTGCCCACCCCACCCCCAGCCCTGAGAGCTGCTCTCAGTGGCTCTGAAATAGTTACTGATTCTAACCTCAGGCCTTTCCCCTCGGTATTTCTTCACTTCCTCTGGTAAGTGCCCCCCCCCCGACCCCCTGTCAAGTGACCCGCCTCTTGACTGTCACAGTGCCCTGTGGTCTCCCCCCATCAAAGCACACTTCCCTTTGCATTGGAATTGTCTGTTTACTTCGTCTGTCTCCTCCGCCGGACAGGGAGCTACCCTTCGGCAGAGACCCCGAGTGTTTTGTTCAGGGCTGTATCCCCAGCTCCGGTAACAGTGCCTGGCATGTTAGTGGTCACTCAGTAAACACTGAGGGAACGAATGCATTTTTCTAGATGATGCCCGTTTGCTTTGCAAAAAAGGCTGTGGCACTGCACAGTCAGCAACCACGTGCAGAAGTCCATTGCTCTTCCCCGTCCCCGAACTGTGTATTGTCCCTTTCATTCCCACGTTCTTTGCGAGTTACCTTCCGGGCGAAGGCACCCCCTTCCCAAACCCGAGGAGGTGGCAGTATCGGAACGTCAGGTGTCCAGACTCGCGGCGCGCGGCGCCAGGGGGCGCCAGAGGCGGGCTACCGTGCCGCGTCGAGCTGGCTGGAGCTCGGGTCCCGAAGGGGGTCCCGCCTAGTCCGGGGTTCCCGGCGCCCCGCCCCCGGCAGCCCGCAGCCGGGTGATGAGTGCAGCCCCGAGGCCCAGAGCCCGAGCGGCCCCTCCCGGCTCCCAGCGCCACGCGGCGCGAGCCCCGCCAGAGCACGGCGCACCTGCTTGGGGCGTGGCCTCCGGCGAAGGCGCGCCTCGATTGGCGCGGAGGTGACAAAGGGGCGTGGCCGTAGTCGGCCCCCGCCCACCCGCGGCTGGCGTACTTAAGGCAGTTGGCGGCCAGACTCCACTCACAGCGCAGCTGCACGGCCTCGCGTGTGGAGGGTCTTGGTATCCCAGCACGACCCGGCTCCCCCCGCTGCTTCGGCCACCATGCCGCGCTCTTTCCTCGTCAGGAAGTCCGCCTGCTCCCGCCGGAGACCCAATTACAGTGAGCTCCACGACTCTTCTCCAGGTGAGTGGACGGGGTGCCGGACCCCAGGGAGTTTGGGGGAGGCAGACGAAGGCTGCATGGGGGGCACTTGAGAGGCAGGGCCCTTGGTGGGACAAAATGGAGGGGCCAAAGTCGAAGGGCCAAAGTCGAGTCAAAAGATAACAGTCTGGGTGTGAATAGGCCGGGGCAGGTGGATCCGGGAGATTGGGAGAGGGCTTTTAGAGGCCGGTGGTCTTTGGCTGAGGGGACTAATTAGCCGCCGAGAAGCGGGGCGCCCCGAGAGCACAGAAGTGAGAGGAGGCGGCTTGTGTCTGGATAGACGCCGGCCAGGGGCTGGAAAGAGTCCGGAGTCCACAGGATTTGGGGGAGGGGGTGGGAGAAGAGATGTGTATGGAAGGGGGACAGGGGTGGTGCCTCGGCAGCTGGGGAGATTAGGGGCCAGGGAGCTGGGGGTCTCGCCTCAGGCTGGGGACTTGGGCACCGCAAGAGGAAGGAGACCTGAGAATGACCTCCTTGAGTTGGAGCTGGGGAAGGGGGTGTCCTTCCTGTAAGATCTGGAGGTTGAGGTGGGAGAACCAGGTGACCTGGCTGAGGAGGGGGCTCTGCCAGGGCAGGAACCTGTCTGTCCTGGTCATGAATCTTTTTTATTCATCTACTAAGCATTGAGTGCCAGCCCCACTCAGCCCCTGGCCCACATCAGGCTAATGTTTGCTGACTGACTGAATGATCTAATCCCTGACCTTGCGCTTTTCCCTGTCTCCTCACAGAGTTCACTTTTCAACAGCCCTATGACCAGGCCCACCTGCTGGCAGCCATCCCGCCACCCGAGGTCCTCAATCCCACGGCCTCACTGCCTACGCTCATCTGGGACTCTCTCCTGGCACCCCAAGCCCAGCCGATTGGCTGGGCCTCTCTTCTGCCCCAGGAGATCCCCAAGGCCATCGAGCTGACCTCCCTGTCTGACGAGGACAGCGGGAAAGGCTCCCAGCCCCCCAGCCCACCCTCACCGGCTCCTTCGTCCTTCTCTTCCACCTCAGCCTCCTCCCTGGAGGCCGAGGGTTATGCTGCCTTCCCAGGCTTGGGCCAGTTGCCCAAGCAGCTGGCTGGGCTCTCCGTGGCCAAGGACCCCCAGTCTCGCAAGGCCTTCAACTGCAAATACTGCAACAAGGAGTACATCAGCCTGGGTGCCCTTAAGATGCACATCAGAAGCCACACGCTGCCTTGCGTCTGTAGCACCTGCGGGAAGGCCTTCTCCAGGCCCTGGCTGCTGCAGGGCCACGTCCGGACCCACACTGGTGAGTACCCCTGCAGGCTGGCTGCCCTTCTCACTGTCCCACTGCTTTTGCTACAAGCTCTTGTAAGATGGGCTTGCTGTTACTTTCAGATTGTGGAAACTGACCCCCCCACCCCCACCCCCCACCCAGTCTCCTGACTCCTAGCTCAAGAGTTCAGGGGCCTGGCTCCGAAAAGTTTGGCAGAAACATTCGTTCATTCACCAGCTAAGCAGATGGGCTAAGGAGATAATTTTACACGTCCCTCTGCAGGCTCAGTTCTCAGCCAAATGGGTTGGAGCTGGGTATGGGAAAGGTGTAACCAGCACCTTGCTGTTGGGGCCAGGTGTGAAGGGGCTCACCCTGCTCCACTTCCCCCACCCGCCCCCCAGCCAGACAGGATGTTTGTCAGACTCCCCACCTGCCTCTGACTCCTGCTTTGGGATCTTCCCAAACTTTGGGCTGCTGTTTCACCTCTCTAAGCCTCAGTACCCGCCTCTGTGAAATGAGCATAGAAACACCTTGTGGGGTTTTTGCTCTGGTCAAATGAAAGAAAGCATGCAGAAATCACCTGGGACAGTGCTTGGTACATGATCAGTACACACAAACATCATAGCTGGTACTCACTCTGTTTCCATGCTGTGTGTCTTTGAGCAAGTGATTTAACGCTCTGAGCCTCTCCGATTATAATATAATCATATAGGGTGGGTTACGATAGCATTTCATACGGGGCTATCTAGATTTAGTGGCTCCTTAATCGCTTTATAATATCATCATGGTTCTCAGATCTGCTCTCCCCACCCCCATTCACACTGCTGAATAGATAATCTTAATCCTATCATGCAGACCCGGGAACACGTTTGCTGGCAGAAAACACAATTATGTCTTGGTGTTTCAAAAAATGCAATACTGAATGTGTAGAAAATTATGAAATGGAGCCTGTTCTAGTCTTTAGCTTTCTGGGAATGCAGAAAAGGTAGCCACTCCACCTTTTCAGAACATGAATGGTGGAGGCCGCCCTGCTTGGGGCTGCTCTTTGGAGAGTGTCTGTTGAGGGAGAAGAGGGTTCAAGGGTCATGACTGTTGGTTTTGGGGGTCAGGTTGGCCAGGTTGGAGACTCAGTTCTGGCATTTCCTCATCCGGTGGCTGATCTCTGAGTGAGCCGTGAGGGTCAGTGAGGTGGTTTGTGAAGCCTGGCATTTTGCAGGCATTACTGGTGTCATCGTTACTCCTACGGGGGTGGGGGGCATCCTCCACACCTTGCAGACCGTGGCTACTACCCATGTCTCTTACTTGGTGCACAAACAGCTCTGATTTTAACATGGAAGGGTCCAATTGCCTGGCCTCTGTCCTGGGTGCCTGCCCAGCTGATGGGGTCTCTATTTGGGGGGAGTGGAAGCCCTGAGATGCTCCCCTGGGCCCCCCAGCTTCTTTCCCTTCCCACTCGGACATTATTTTAATGTAAAGGCATGGCTCAGACACAAAAAGCCTGTTGAAATGCACCAGTGCCATCCTCATCAACTCCCATTGTGTGCCTTAATGGTGCGCCCAGGGGGCGGGGCTGGGGAGTGGAGCAGGTGCACAGGGCAGCGGTGCCCAGCACCTGTTCCAGGCCGCAGCTGCTGGCCTGCAGTGTGTCAGGCCGCGTTAATCCAGGGAGTATTGCATGTACACTGCCCCCCTCGGCGGCCTTTGTCCCGCTGGTCTGGTGCCGATTTCACACTCCAGGAGCACCATAAAGACGTGGCTGGGGTGGGGAGGGGGAATCCGCGAGGGGTGGAGATCTGCTGCCTCCTGCTGCACCCCTCACATCCCATCAAGCCTGCCCCTTTGTTCAGGTTTGTGTCTAATCATAAGAAACATAAAGATAACGTTCACTGAGCACTTGGCAGTGCGGGAGGCGGGGGAAGGCGTGATGCTCAGGGCTTCCTTCACCTGGTCAAGGCGGTAAATCCACCAACAGTCCTAAGAGAGACGTGCCATCATAACCCCCTCTTACAGGGTGTGGAAACTGAGGCATAGAGAAGGAAGTCACTTTCCCAAGTCACAGCCCATGGGCTGGAGCCAGGGCTCCTTCACCTTGGCCGAGGGGGTGAGGGGGCAGTGGGGATTACAGGACTCCATCCCCTTTTCCGGACCTGCATAGCGTGGGCCCTGAGTTCACAAAGGAGTGTGTGAGTGAGGAGGAAGTTCCCTTGGACCTTGTAGACTGCGGTCATCAAACCCTTCCGGCCTGGTGTGCAGAGGCAGCTCAGTACGGCAGAGCAGGTCACTCAGGTGTCCCTTCCCCAGTTCTCTGGCCAGGTCCCCGCTCTCTGCCCCAGGAGACTGAGCCCCTGAACGTGGTTCCACAGTGGGCCGCAGGCATCTGACTTCTAGACCCTGCCCTCCCTGCTCAGCTAGTGCCCCAGGCACCCAGGAGGCTGCTGGAATTCATTCATTCCCAGCTCTCAATTCCAGCACTGGGATTTAACTAGAGGGCCTTGGCCTAGGGGCATATAAGGCTGGGAATGGAAGGATAGGAGAGTGTAGTTTCTTCTGGAAAAGACTATTCAGTATTACAGAATAGTGCCGGGCCTGTGGTAGGAACCTGATTAGTATTTGTGTAATGCGTTACCCTTCTGACTTTATTTGGGAAATGCTGCAGCCCCAGGAAAAAGTGAAACACAGCATTTGACATTTCTGGAATGTGAGTTATAGTCTCTTGATTGGGGCAGGAATTATGAAAAGTTGGTGAATGGTGTTTTCTGGTGGTGATTGAGGAGTCAGGCTCTTCTGAGACCTTTATAAAAAAAGACTTATTGTTGTACAAGCATTTATTGAGTTCTCACTGTGTACCCAGCCCCGAGTGCAAGACTCTTCTCAGTACAGCCTGGCCAGGCAGGTGAATGAGGGCCACAGGTAGGGTTTTTTAAAAAAAATAAGTCATAAGGTAAAAGGTTTCTGTAGCCTCTTGGGGGTTCTGGGCCTTGGGCTGGAAGCTTGGAATGGATTCGGTGTCGGTGGAGGGGGGGATCCTGCCCTCATGGGGCTCAGTCTGATTGGGGGACGAACAGACTTGAAACTACCCTGAGTGTGATCCGAGTCGATGGGGAAGCAGGATAAAGGAGTGACCTGCTGGGGGATAGGGGTGGGCTGGGGCTTTAAGGCTGGCTCTTAAGCTTTGTCCCCAAGAGGAAGTAAATCCAGGGGTTAATAAGGAACATCCATTACAGCCCCCTTAACTGAGGGGCAGTCTGTGTAGTGCTTAAAATCAAGGGCGCTGGGCTTCCCTGGTGGCGCAGCAGTTGGGAGTCCGCCTGCCAATGCAGGGGACACGGGTTCGATCCCTGGTCCAGGAAGATCCCATATGCCGTGGAGCAACTAGGCCCGTGCGCCACAACTACGGAGCCTGCGCTCTAGAGCCCGCGAGCCACAACTACTGAAGCCCCTGCGCCTAGAGCCCGTGCTCCGCAACAAGAGAAGCCGCCACAATGAGAAGCCCGTGCACCGCAACGAAGAGTAGCCCCCACTCGCTGCAACTAGAGAAAAGCCCACGTGCAGCAACGAAGACCCCAAAACAGCCAATAAATAAATAATAAATTCTTTAAAAAAAAAAAAAAAAATCAAGGGCGCTGGAGTCGGGCTATTTGGTCTTGCTGAGATGCTGCATATTCCCTGAGCCTCAGATTCACCATCTCTAAACTCAGGACAAAGGTGGGGTTAAATGAGATCATGTAAAATGCTTCCACTGTCCCTAGCACAAAGTGTTCAGCAAACACAGTTGCCATCACTGTCATCATTGTTGAGCACTTCCTGCTGGCAGGGCAGGAAAAGTACTTGATTCAACCTTCTCTCAATTACCAGCCTCTATGAGTGGGGGATGAACAGCTCCATTTTACAGATGAGCAAATGGAGGCTCAAGAGAAGCCAGCTGACTTGCTCAGGGCCACACGGTGGGAAGCAGCAGCGCTCCCTGCCAAATCCAGGCCTTTGGACACTGTATGACCTGGCTTTTCTGGGTCGCGGGAGTTCCTCAAGGTTGGAGTGACCCCGGGGTGGGTGGGGATTTCAGTAGACGTCAGCTGTTCTCCCAAGTGGCTGAGTCTCACTCAGCTCCCTCCTGTCTTCTCTCCCCAGGCGAAAAGCCCTTCTCCTGCCCCCACTGCAGCCGCGCCTTCGCTGACCGCTCCAACCTGCGGGCCCATCTCCAGACCCACTCGGATGTCAAAAAGTACCAGTGCAAGACGTGCTCCAGAACCTTCTCCCGAATGTCCCTGCTCCACAAGCACCAAGAGTCAGGCTGCTCAGGGGGGCCCCGCTGACTCTAAAGGCTCCTTGCACCTCTCCGGGCCCTACCCCAACTCCAGAAGGAAGGACCCGGCATCCTTCTCGCTGCCACAGAGTTCCCTCCTGAGCTCCGCCTTCTGGCTGCGTTGGCCCCCCAGGACTCTGAGGACCACTTCCCAGTCCTCTGCTCTGAGCGCCCCACCGGGCTCTGAGGGGGGCCTTTCTTTGGACAGCTGATGGGAGGGTGGCTTGCAGCAGAGACCCCCTCCTGGCAGCCGCTGCTCCAGAGTGTTCTGGAGTTGGCCTTTCTGCGTGGGTTTGTGTATCCAGAGCTGTTTGGATACAGCTGCTTTGAGCTCCAGGACAAAAGCCAGCAGACTGATGAGAAGCTCCCACCCCACTCAGGGGACCCCAGCCTCCCCTACAGGAACCCTCAGGCCACCCCCTCCAGAAGGTGCAACTTAACTATGCAAACACCCACCCCCAGGTGCACTCGCGGGGGTGGGCCCTGACACAAGGACAGCATCTAGACCCCAGGATGCCCCAGGGCCTGGGCAGCTATTTCAGCCTCCTGTTTGTCATGGTGGCACCTGTTTCACGGGCAATTTAACAACATCTCCAAAGGGACTGTGAATAATTGCCTTCACTTGTCCGGGGCCCAAGTGGGGTGCTTCGGCTCCACTGATGTGTCTCCCGGAACTATTTTCGGGGGCCCGACAGGTGGGCCCGGGAGGAAGATGTTTACATTTTTAAAGGTACACTGGTATTTATATTGCAAGCGACATTTTGTACTAAGGAAACGTTTTGTATAGTTATATGTACGGTTTATTGATATTCAATAAAGTGGTTAATTTATACATAAAAAAGTCTACTTGGTTTTATGTGGAGTGGGTATTTTAAAGGGCCTTTAGGGAGGGAGGAGGGGGGCAGGGATTCGTGGAGCTCGGATACTCCTGACACAGCCTCAAATCTTGGCCTCTTAAACATCACATGGCTTTGGACCTCTGGGTTTGTCAGGGACCTTGTTTGTGCAGATGGGTTTTCCTCGGAGCCTGGATGTCCTGTCCAATACGGAGGTTGGGAAACACCTGTGGGCCAGTGAGCAGTAGAGCTGTGTGTGCAGGTTTCTACACTGCGGCCCTTACTCATTCTCTCGTGCTCCCGTTTTGAAGCCAACCAGGCCCACAGGGTGAGAAGCCAGCTCCCTGGGTCTTATCAACTAGGCCTGCTGTGGGGCCTTCCCCAGCACTGCAGGTCTTTTGGGGAGGGAGCGGCTGCTGCCCCCAGATGAGGGAGTGGAATGCGATGAGTAAGAAGGGGACAGAGGACGTCCTTCCTGTTTCCAGGGGCTCCAGGCCCCGCTCCGGCCTCCCTGTCAGACCCACACCTCTGTCTGGCCTCTGGGTACCAAATGGCCTTTGATGCAAGGAAATTGGCTGGCTGGAGTCGGGAGGGTGAGAAGCCAGGCCAAAGGGTAGGGGTCATTCTGCTTCCTGCTCGAGGACAGGACAGGACAGGAAGACGGTCAGCTTGCGTCCCGTCCCGGGCTGAGCTAATTCACTCACGGCAGGCTGTCATGGTGACCTCACCTCTGGGGCCCTCCTGGGGCCAGGAGAAAATGAGTGTCCTTTTTGAACACAAAAGGTGCCGAAGGTGCCAGTTTCCTGCGGGGAGCTGAGCGGGCGTCCCAGAGCCCCAGAGTCAGGCCGGGGGCGGGGGAGCTTCGTGTTCCAAAGGAGAGATGATTCTTTCTTCTAAACAGGAAATGGTGACCCACAGGCCAGGAGCAGCCCTTAATGACTTGCAGCTTTCCTCCCAAAAGAAAAAAAAAACTTCTCTAACAATCGCCAAATTGTAGCTGGCCTCCCTGAAGGGAAGTTAGGGAGTCGGTGGGGGGCTGGGGGTTTGGGCGTCAATTTGCTGAAGGCCTACTGTGTCCCACGTCCCTGGGTGTCATACATCCACGCGTAGTAGGTGCTGACATTGATGGTGAATGTATAATTGATTGCATACACTCCCAGAGGGATGGGCCTCGTGGAAACTCCCAGCTGGCATTCAACATGGGTGCACGAGGCTCCGATCATTCTGGGAGTCAGGTACCAGGCTCATGCCCTTGGCTCGCAAGGCCTTGGAGCAAGGCTCTCCGCCTCTCGGACCCCCAGTTGCTGCCTCTAAAATAGGGTGATGACGGCGCCTTCCTCCCCGGAGACTGTAAAGGGATGTCCATCCAATCAGTTTTGATGAGCCCCGTGTGTGCCAGGCCCTGTTCTAGGCCCCGGGGTTACAGCCCTGAACAGAGAGACAGTTCCTGCACTCAGGGAACTAATGTTTTAGCAGGGGAGACAGAAAACAAACGAGTGATTAAATAAGCCGCTTTCCTACAGTGATGTGCCAAGATGGAATTAAAGAGAGCGCCTACTAGAGAGCGATGGGGTAGGGCACCCTCCGATAAGGTGGGAGAGCTGCAGCCCAGTGCCCATTCCAGCGGAGACCTGGAGGAGGAGAGAGCTCCAGCCTGTCAAGGAAGCAGCAAGTGCAAAGGCTCCGGGGCTGGAATAAGCTTGCCATGATGCCAAAAAAGACCAGGGCGGCAGAGAGTCTGGGGGCACCAGGTGGGATTGATGAGCTGGTCCAGATCCTGCAGCACTTGTGCAGGTGGCCAGGAGTTCTATTTTGTTGAGCCCACAGGGCAGCCACAGGGACATTTTAAGCAGGGGAGCCATGAGGCCTGCTTTACTTTTGCACTGATTCCCCCCACCCTGGTGGAGAATGGAGTTAGCCAAGTCAGAGCTGGGAGCCAGTGAAAGGCCCAAGGCAGAGGGATGACTGCTGGCCTGGCCCAGAGGGGTGGAGGCCTCAGGGGATGGTTGGATTGCAGAATCTGTGGCAGCTGCACCTCCAGCCCTGTGCCAGGCACACCTGAGCACTGGTGGGTGCGAGTTACTAGGGATTATTTAAAGGAGATGTTGGACCCGGTAGCGGGGTGGGGATAAAAAGAAGGATGGTTCCTGTGTTCTGATGTGGACAAGCCCCCACTCAGCCACATTTAGCTAATTGAGAAAAATAACATGCAGACCGCGCTCCCTTTTGTGGGAAGAAGGGTGGAATTGAGCATGCTATTCATTCTTGTTTGTATTTGCATACAGAAACTCTGGAAGGATCTACAATAAAACAATCAAAGCCATCTCTAGGCAGGTGCAGGGGTAGAATGGGGTAGATGGAGGTGGGCAGGAGAGAGCAGGGAGCCAGGATTTTTAGATTTCTTTAAAACTTTTGATTTTGCCATAGTTTCAACCTGACAGAAAAGTTGCAAGAAGAGTACAATAAACTGGAATCTTTTGATTGGCATCTTATCAAATGCAAGTCTGCATTTTCTCTCTCTGTATATGCACATACACATACCCACTTTTTTTTTTTTTTTTTTTTTGCGGTACGCGGGCCTCTCACTGTTGTGGCCTCTCCCATTGCGGAGCACAGGCTCCGGACGCGCAGGCTCAGCGGCCATGGCTCACGGGCCCGGCCGCTCCATGGCATGTGGGATCTTCCTGGACCGGGGCACGAACCCGTGTCCCCTGCATCAGCAGGCGGACTCTCAACCACTGCGCCACCAGGGAAGCCCACTTTTTTTTTGGGAACCATTTGAGAGGAAGTTGTAGGCATGATGCCCCTTTACCACGAAGTATTTCAGTGGGTATTTCTTAAGGATACGAACGTTCTTTCATATGACCACAGTTCAGTGATCAAAATTGGGAAATTTAGCGTTGGTGCAATGCTATTATCCAATCCACAGTCATAATCAAGTTTCCCCAACTGCCCCAGTGATGCCCTCCACAGCACTTTAGGGAGTGGGGAGAGACCCAGATCCCACGTTACATTTACTTGTCCTCTTTAGTCTCTCTTATTCTGAAACAGCTCCTTCCTTGGTCTTTTGTGAGTCTGACTTTTTTTTTTTTTAATAAATTTATTTATTTATTTTTGGCTGCATTGGATCTTCGTTGCTGTGCGCACGCTTTCGCTAGTTGTGGCGGGCAGGGGCTACTCTTCATTGCAGTGCGTGGGCTTCTTATTGCGGTGGCTTCTCTTGTTGCGGAGACCAGGCTCTGGGGCCTGCGGGCTTCAGTAGTGTGGCACGTGGGCTCAGCAGCTGTGGCTCGCGGGTTCAGTAGTTGTGGCGCATGGGTTTAGTTGCTCCGCAGCGTGTGGGATCTTCCCAGACCAGGGCTCGAACTTGTGTCCCCTGCATTGGCAGGCGGATTCTTAACCACTGTGCCACCAGGGAAGCCCCTGTGACTCTGATATTTTTGAAGAGTTCAGGCCAGGTATTTTATAGAACGTCCCCCAGTTTGGATTTTCCCAATGCTTCCTCATGATGAGATCTGAGCTGTGCACTTTTGGCAGAACCACAGCGGTGGGGCTGTATCCTTCTCAGTGCAACGTATCATGGGGCACATGACGTCAGTTTGTCCCTTTCCTGGTGACGTCAACTTTGACCACTTGGTTAAGGTGGTGTCTGCCAGGTTTCGCCTGGATAAAGTCCCTCTTTTTCCCCTTTTGTACTTAATCCGTATCTTGTGGGGAGACCTTCCAAGGCCACGTGAATATCACGTTACTCCTCAAACTTCCACCCATGAGGTTTAGCCCTCGCTGGTGTTTTCTGCCTAAATCAATTATTATTATGGTGGTTGCCAAATGGTGATTTTTCTAGCTCCATCATTCCTTCTATTTTTACTGGTTTGCTTTCTACTGTAGGGAAGAACTACCCTCCTCTGTCTGGGCAGCAGCTCAGAGCTGTGGGTTGGGAGAGATTGGGTGGGGAGGAGAAGGGTCTGGCCAGGCCCTTAGATCCTCCCCTGGGTTTTTCTTTAAAACGAGTCCAGGAAATAAACTGGCTGTAAAGCTGGTCTCCGTGCAAGTGTCCAGGCAGGCAGGTCTGGGGCCAGGGCCACCTCTGGGCACATCTGGGCCCCATTAGTGATCCAGTGGCTTACTGATGGATGTCCCTTGAGCTGGGATGGGGGGGTACTCTGGCGAGCAGGGATCTGGGTCCTCCTTGCCCTTTTTTGCTTTCAAATTGTCAATTTCACAAATGTTAGGAAAATTTATTCTTTCATTAAAAAAGAAAAAATGAAAAGATTAGATGTGAGGCTCAAGTGATATGTGATCAACACACCCTATCCTGATGCCTTTACTGTCTCCAGCGTGCCGTGCCACTGTGAAGGGCTTAGTTTATATCTTCTAGATTAAAACAATAAATATTTACATGCACATATGGCTCCAGTCTCACTCACAGGAAAAGCCAAAGTCCTCACCTTGGCCCACAGGGGCCTGCACGATCCGGCCCCATCACCTCTGCCTCATCCCCTTCCCTACCCCCCTCACTTCCTCCAGTCACGAGGGGTCCTCTGCCACCTCAGGGCCTTTGCACTTGCTGTTCCTCTGCCAAGAAGACTCAGCCCCCAGAGAAGCTCACGTGGCTGGTCTCCCCCACCATCCCTCTCCCTTTTACATCCCAGCCCCCATGCCCTGCCCTGTTTTGTTTTGTTTTGTTTTCTCCATAGTACTTGTCACCATCCAACAGTCCATATATTTCACTATCCACAGTTTCTCTGTTGACTGTCTTCCCCACTAGAATGGCAGCTCCACGCAGGTGGAAATTTTGTCTGCTTTGTTCATAGTCCAGTCTCCCGGTGCCTCAAGTCTCTCTCACAGGAGGAGCCCACTCAGTAAAACTTTGCTGAATGAATGATGAAAGAATATATGTGTGCCCCTAGGAAGTACAACGTTGTCACCATTCTTATGGGGCACTTTCTATGTGCCAGGCCCTGTGCTGAGTGCCTCGTATAGATTAACTCATTAAACCTTCACA